TCTACCCACTTCCCTGTCTTGCACAGAGAACTTCTGGCCTTCCAGATGCAAATCTGGTGAAGATTTGCTGAGCTCTACAACGAGCATTTCCTGAATGATATCATTCCCTCCGCGAGGCTTTGTTATTTCCAGGCTATTTTTCTAAAATTCTCGCTTGCCCTCCTTTCCCATGTTTTGCGTTAGAAGTTGATACCAACACAACTAATTCACTTTGGGCTATTCTTCACTTCCCTGGCAGGTACAACAACCTGCTGCTCTTTCATCGCCATTCTAGGGGTTACCTAGTATTTAGACTCCCCGTTCTATGACCTTTAAGAGGCTTTTTGTGTGACACCACTGTCACACAAGTTATTACTTCCTCAAAGTATGTCATCAGTGCATCACTGAACAACCACTACAGTTCTCCAGAAAGTTATTTTCTTCACCACTGGCTGAAATTCAACAAAACCAGGATTCTACGATCTCCATGTCTCCCAGGCCACCTCGTGCCGTTCAAAGCTTAACAGAACTGTACATCAGGCTCACTCATCTCTTTCTCCAGGCCACTTTATTCAATATTTGCTCTCCTGGCAATGACAAATTTGACATGTTCCATCCTCTCCTCAGGATGTGAGCTTGCTGCTTTCATGTCTGTTACATAGTCGTGATATTTTTCTCACTACAGACCCTGGCAAAGCATTTGAAGCCTGTGGAGCTTTGAGACAGAGCCCCAGAAGCAGAAATAGCCACAGAATCCCTCCGACAAACAACATACCTCACAAGGAATTATCCCAGTATTGTCCTTCACATATAGGCAACCATCTACCAACTTCTCTTTGTCCTCCTGCCTTCCATCTGTTAAATAGCCAACCAAGATCAGGTAAGCCCTCGGCAAAGAGCTGTGTGTGGGTAAAGCACCTTTTCCTTGATGAGCCCATTCTTTAAATTCTTTAGTGCTCCAGGTCAGGTGGCTGCAGCATGGCATGCACTGCTGGCTCTTTAGGTCAGAGATGGAGATGAAACTGGAAAAAAATGAAAAGGAAGAACATAAAAGCATTAACTCAGCCTGCAAAGTTTAGGGATTACAGTGATCTTTGGAGTGGACAAAGCTTGGCCAAGTCAGAAGAGCCTAAGCCATTGGCAGGGTTTGATGATACCATACGGCACGAATCAACCCATTCACTGGCATTTATCAAGGATCTCCCTCAGCTCAGCCAACAAGTCTGTTCAGCAAGTATCCCCTCCGAAAACAGACACCCTTTGCTGCTACAGACACCCGACTAGGCAGAAGACCTGGAAAATGTAATAACTGAGAGCTGACAAAAGGGAACGTTTTCAGGTTTTTTTAGTAACATGGGGGGGGGAGGTGGGAGAGAGAAGAGTTATTAAAGACATTTTTAGCTTAAATGGGAGACTGATAAAAGCCCAACAACTGCTCAGGACAGCTTACATGTCAGTAATGAACATAAGTAAACACCAATTAATTCCATCATTTAGTGTGAAAAGGGCTGATCTGTAGACAAAGTAAGGCTGAACAATTCTAGATGAAGACTGTGCCAGCTTTGGAACAGATTTGCTCCTGTGGATAACTTACACGATACAAAGTGGTGAGGTAAGTCAGTAATCTTAGGCTGTGTCTTCACCTGTAAGAACACAGCCAAGAGAGCCCTGAATCTTTCCATCCACATTCTGAGCCTTGGCAGAGCATGAGAAGGAAGAGCAACGCTGACATCAACCACAGTTGAGGCTCTCCCCATCTGAGCATCTATCATGCTTGGACTGACCACAGTACCGAATATGGCAGAACAAAATAGCATCCTCACTGGACTGTAAGCTAGCTGGCTGTGCTAGAGAATTAACAAAAGTCCTCTGTCCATGCTAACAGCAATACTGTAAGAGTTATTACTATTACCAGTCTCTGGCTAGTGATTTGGTACTTGTTTCCACTGAGGCTGGCTGACAATTTCAGGTTGTGAAACTGCAGCTGTATTCGCAACACCCACTTCTTCAGGAGCAGGAGATAACCACATTCAGAGAATATGAATTCGAAAAATTTCACTTGGTAAGTCAGGTATCAATAGTTCAAAGCCAGAAACTAGTCTAGACGAGTGATGGGTCTGTGTAAGCTATAAATAGTACTTGTATAAAAAATTAATCAGAAGAGATAAACACATGCAGGTACTTGTGTATTTGGCACCTCAACTGGAAAAGGATGAGCTGAAAAGGATATAAGCAAACTGCTGCATCCTCAGAGATACAGCAAAATTGGGATTTATATTGATGTCTATGATCTACAAGCAGAACACAGGGTTGTTCCTGTTTTCATTACACGTGCTGATTGTTTTTTGGAGAAATTAAAACTACAGGAGTACGCTGGATCCTGGTTATCACATACTGGTAACTACCAAAGCCCTCTCTGGTGCTTCCAAGATCGAAGGTTGACTGTGGACACCATACGCTTACAAACAGCCCAGTAGCCTCACATACAAGCCAGGGGCTTTAACAAACGTTCCCCCACCATGAGCTGGAGATGGCAGAAATAGATCCAGGTGATCCAGACCGTCCAATGTGGACTCCTCTCAGCAAGCTGCATACTTTTCATGACAGTAAAAATACAAAAGGCTTCCTACCTACTAAAACAAGGAGGTAGTCTATCCTAGATTCCTGCTTCACAAACCTCAGCGGGCTAGCACCGACGGGTGCCAGTGCAGCCCCGCGGGATCCAGCTGCGCATCAGCATCCATCCCGCTCTCAGCACCATGCCCCACTTGGCTTCCACACCCTCCCCACCGCAGACTAGCAGAGCCAGTGCTTCATCATACCCACAAGAGCAATCGGGGGCAGGTGGAAGCCAAGAGGACGCGTGCGGTTACCCGTCTGCAACAACAGCCCTCCCACCCCTGGCATCCGGGGCAGGCAGCGCAGCGCTGCTTTGGCTGCTGCTGCTGCTGCTGGAGGTGCTGGTGATGCTCCTGCTGGTCATGGTGGTGATGCTAGTGGTGCTGGTGGGGGTGATGCTGGTGGTGGTGATGCTGGTGATGGTGATGCTGGCGGTGATGCTGGTGGTGGTGGTGGTGATGCTGCTGATGGTGATGGTCCTGGTGGTGGTGGTGGTGCTGGTGCTGGTGGTACTGGTGATGCTGGTGGTGCTGGTGATGCTGGTGGTGCTGGTGATGCTGGTGGTGGTGCTGGTCCTGCTGCTGGTCTCAGTGGTGGTACTGGTGTTGCTGCACCCCCAGCCCACCTCCACGCCCCCCGGCTGCACCCGGAGCCTGCTGTGTGGGTGTCTCCACCTCATACCCGACCTCCTCCCGCCCCCTGTCCCCTGTCCCTTGTCCCCTGTCCCCGTCTCGTCACCTGTATCCGAGCGGCAGCACCCCGCGCCCCGCTCCCCTCAGGCACCCCAGCACCGCGGCCAGCTCTGGTGATGGCGGCGGCTCCGCTCCGCCCGACCCCTGTCGGCTTGGCAGCGCTCGGCGGGCGAAGTCCTCGGCAGCCTGCAGCCAGCGGAGCTCCTGCGGAGAAGCAGACACACGGGGCTTCAGCATGGCGGGGCCGGGGGACCCGGGGGGACCCGAGGGACCCGGGGGGACCCGAAGAAACCCGGGGCTCCCTCACCGCCGCGCTGGGCTCCGCCATGATGGCGGCCGGGCTCGGCACCACGGCAACGGGGCGGCGGCGGGAAGCGCGCGGGGCCCGCCGGGACCCCCCCCCCCCCCTTGTTCGCCTCAGCCCCGTGTGTGGAGGATTGCGGGGTGGGGAAGTTTTTCTGACATTGGTGTTGTTGTTTTTAAGTTTGTTTTGTTTTTGGAAGGCCCAAGGGCCGTGCAGAGCGATGCCTCGTGCACTCGTGTGGTGGTGTGAGGTGAATGTGAACGCTCCGTGAGAGCTGTGGTTCCCCCCCCTCTCGTTCCACCTCTCCCTTTAGGAACTGTTTTTGTGCTGTTCTCGGTCAAGGCAAGGGGACGAGCCAGGCAAAACTTGGTGAACCTCCTCCATCCCTACCCCTGGAGGTGGCTGCTGCCAGGTAAAAGGCAGCCTGGCCATCTCCAGCCCTGCTGACCAGCCAGAGGCTGAAGAAATGGAGCCATGAAGCTGCGCTGGCTTCTGTACAGCAGATAAGCAAGACCAGAGTAAAAGCAGGAGCGTGGAGGTGTTTGGTTTCATCTGAAACAATTCAAGGAAGGCCCAGTGTTGATTTTATGCACATCTGGGGCTTCTGCATGTGAAACGGGAATGTTCTTCCAAACCAAAGCTTAGTAGCTCAATCGAAAGACCTCTGAGTGCAGCACAGAGATAACTGCAGAAAATGGGAGGATGGTGCCCTGTCACAAACCCTCCCCGTGGCAGACTGTCCCCTGTCCCTGATAACTGGGTGCAGCAGCTGTCCACTTGTGGTCCCTCCTGCTCACGACACCCGTCTCTTGAAGTAGCAATGGCCAACGCTGGTCATCCTCAGCGGGCAAGGGGCAGGAGCAGATACCTAACATGCACAAATGAATGAAAGTTACCTCAAGAGAAGAAATGGTTCCGCAACATGTAGGGCAAGGTCTTAGGGGCAGCAAATAAAATAGAGGTCTTCATCATCATCATTTAGCCACTTATTCCTCACTGTATACGTTATTTTTCATTATATTTAACACACTACCTTTAGAAGCACGTATTAAGCAGAGCTCACTGCCTACGCTGCATCGTCACATTACTTCCCACCGCCCCTGCAGCTGCTTCATTGAAATGTACAGGAAAACATGTTTTAAATTAAAAGCTACAGGGCGTATACACTCTAAATATGCTACTTTGGGATGATAAATGCATTTCTTAAAAGTACTTGTGTGCTTACAATGCAGTTAAGGGGCAACGAGTTCCCTTACAGCTGCAGGCTGCAGCTCCACACGAACCTGCGCTAAGTAAGGCCGAAACGGTTGTGTGTCAGGAAATGTTAAGATTACAGCGAGCCTCCTTTTCCGTGTGTTTTCCGGCAGTTTCGGTCACACGCCACCAAGCTCCGATTTTTAAGGAACAAGCGTGCAGGCAGGCACCCCGGCGGCGCGCAGCCGCCTCCGCCGCCCGCGCTGGACTTTGCCCGATGCCTTCAAAGCTAAAGCTGTCCCGGGACCCCTAAAAGGGAGCCGAACCCTAACCGGGAGCCGAACCCTAACAGGGAACTGAGCCCTAACCGGGAGCCGAGCCCCGGCTGCCCGCCCCCGGGGGCGGCCCGGGGGGTCGGGGCCGCCCTTCTCGCAGCCGCCGAGCGCTGCCTGCGGCAGGAAGCGGGAGCCGGGCCGGGCTTGCTCCGTGCAGCTCCGCCCGGGTTTGGGCTGGGTTGATTTGAGCTGATCTGGGCTGGGCTGGGCTGGGGCCGCTTCTCTGATCGCCGGGACCCTGCCATGGGGACGTAGCGGGCGGCAGAGCCATGCCCGGCGCGGCGCTGCCCCGCAGCTCGCTATGCACGGTAAGTGCACGGCGGGGCTCGGCTGCGGGCAGCCCCGGAGCTGAGGGGCTGGTGGGGTCCGAGGGGCTGCGGGGGAGGTCTCCGTGTGCCCTGGGACCGCGCCCGGTGTCGGGGCTGCCTCTCCTCGGGGCCCCGCACGGCGCTGCCCGGGGGCTCGCCGTGCCCCGGGGGAGCCATTTTCTCCCTCAGGGGGGTTGAAGGCAGCGGGAGGTGTGGGGCCGGGGCTGGCGTCCCCGGTGGTGTTTCCGGGATTTCTCCTGACTCAGGGATAACGCCGCTGGATTTACGGGAACGGCCGGCGGGTTCCCGGAGCCCCTGAGCTCCCCTCCCCGCCTAGCGAGGGGCCGGCTCCGGGCAGCCCCGGGGGCCGGAGCCCGGTGGTGCCGCGGTTCCCTCAGGGAGAGGCGGCCGGGAGCCCGCAGGCGGGGACCCGAGCCGGGGGAGTGCTCCCACAGCGGGTTTTTGCGATTTCAGAGGAGAAAAGTTTTTTTTTTGTTTTTTTTTTTTTGGAAGAGGATCGGAGAGTTTCGCGACTAGGCTGACAGCTGGGGGTGGAGGACAGGCGTGTGGTGATACCGCGGCGATGCGGGTTTGGCTGTCTCTGGGGAGTTGTTCCGTGTGTTCAGGCTGAAGTCAGCCTGTCCTGCAGCTTCTGGCCTGCCTGTGTTTAAACAGCATCTCACAGCTTTACATTCTGGCACAGAGCTTGCGAGACCGACCTGCTTATCCCCGAATACCCGAGCTTTCTAGTGACAGAGGCTTGCACTTGGCTCCTCTAGCCTTATAACGCCGGGTAACTCCTTCATTTGCCACCAGACACTCGTGTTTCCCCAGTCTCAAAGCCATCTTCTTCCAGAAGTTTTCTGCACGTGGAAGCTTTCGGAAGCCAGTTACACAACTGGTGCCGGCGAGACAGCGCAACCAAAGCTGCGGGCTGGGAGCGCTCCTTGCCTTACCCCCAGCTGTGGGTCATGTACATCTCGGGACCTAGACAGGACACGTGAAGTCACTCGCATGTAGATTTTAAAGGACTTAATAATATGTTAGAGGAAGAGCGCCCTTTTGTAGGATTTCTTTTTCAGGACATTTTTTCCCTGCCTATTTGCATGGGGTCATTTCAAGTTCTTAATGACACCACATACTCATTCCAGATAGTCCACGTCCTTTCCATAAAACCATACTATTTTTATTAATGTTACAATTCCTGCTCTGTTGCATGCCCTCCTGTCTTCCATTTACTTTCCATATCCTTCCACGTTTGCCCTCGTGGCTTTTCTTACTTCCTTGATGCCTCTGTTCTGGTGTTCTGATTCTTTTCTGTTTCCTCTGATTCTTCAGAATTTCCTGTGATTTGTTCCTGTGCTTTCTCTCTTTCTGCATGTCCTTAGCATAATTTCCTTGTCCTCTGTGTTTTCACCCTGCCCTTCCAGCTTTTACAGAAGAAAAAAAATGGCAGCTGCCTTCACTGAGCCAGTGTGTTTCCTGTCTCATTTAAAAAATAAGTTTATATATAAGGGTGGTTTCATTTGTTAAAGGCAGTCCAGATTTATGAGGCCAGCAGCAGGCCTCTGTTGAGGGTTTCAGACCATGGCAAGCCTGGCAAGTAGTGAACAATAAAACCACTTTCCCAGCTTCCAGGGATTTGTGATTGTAGAAACTTTGGAGTCATAATGGTGTCTTTGTATTCGGGAGCCCTGTGTGTGTTTCTCCTTCTGAGGGATGTGATGGGCACTTCTGGCACCCCGGTGCTGTGTCAGGGAGCCCCGCACCTCACCTACCTGTTGGCCACACAACTACCTTGCTGTGTTTGGTTTGAACCTGGCCCCTGCATGTTTCGGGTGATGCCAATTAGTTCTTTCTTTGGAAGAGAAAGAGAACAGCCATCCCTGCTCATCTTCTCCAGCCACCTTAGTTTGTCTTCCCCGTGGCATTCATGATGTGGGGGCCCTCTGGATTATCCTGTGCTCGGTTGCCTCTTCTACAGACCAGTGTTTTTAGCCATTCCTCTTATGGCAGCCATTCTGTACCACTGATCACCATTCTTTTTATAATTTATGTATCAATTTAAAGTAAGATAATTATGTTCTCAGGACTGGAGACCAGTACGGTTATCTGGATTCCAAGTACAAGATCTGAATGGATTTACATGTTGACGTACCAGCGCTCTCTGTTTTGTTCTCCAATCCTTTCCTTATCGTCCACAGCATCTGATTGCATTTCTGATTGCTTTGTCCAACCAGACTCTTTCATTTTTTTTTTTTATCTGCTTATTAATCCAATTTTAATTTGTATTCTTGATGACTGTCTACTTCCAGCCAAATGAAGCATGCTGTTATCTGGGCCTGTGCCGATCTGAATTATGTGGTAATTTCAGTTCTCACAAGTAAGCAGTATTGTCAGTTTGGGTGCCTTTCCCTTGCTTTTTAATTAATTTTTTTTTTTTTTTGCATTAGCGTTATTATTTGGGTTAAAAAATCGTCATTTGGGCTAAATATTGTCATTTTGCTCCCTCTTATCTATTTCTTTAGTCATCACAAGACGGCCTTGCTTTTGTTTGGCACACAGCAAGGCATTTTGTGTTACAATGTTGGCCTTGCCCCTTGGATATAGCCACCAGCTTCTCTTGAATGCCTGGGAACACGGGCCCTTCTCTTGCAGGCTTGGGAACCTGACAGCAGAACGAGGATCACAAAGCTATGTTTTTCTCTTAAAGCAAACAGGAGTAAGTCAGATCGAATGAATCACACTCGGTGTGTGGCAATCACCTGAAGCTTAAAGAATCCACCGAGTGAATCACTGACAAGGGGCGTGAGCGTGGCTGCAGCTCACCTCATGCAAGGGCCAAGGGCTGGTGCCCAGCTTTGCAGCCATACTATATGAACGCATCTTAGGATGTGAAGTTCGTGGTCTGTATTGACATACACAGTTTTAAATAAGATTTCTAAGGCTTCCCTGAGTGTAAAAGCTCTTTTCAGTCTCCTGGTTTTAGACAAGGCCTACAATGTAGTATTGCGCTCTCCAATCTTCATAAAACGGAGGATTATTTTAATATTAGCTCTTGTATCCTTCTTTTGACCTTTCCAGGTTTTAGCGAGCAATGAGAAAAGCTTCCTGTAAATGTTGCTTTAATACACATTTCTCAATGCTTAAAGGAGAAGTTCTGGTTTCCCGTGCATCTTCACATAGCAAACTAAAAACTGCAGCCTCAGAGAGCTTTTGGAAATGGATGAAGCAACCAAACAACGCAAGGCTAATCCTGCACCCTGATTTCTTTTCAGAAAAAGAAATTTTCTCTATTTGCTTCCAAACTTCCAAGCCTGCAAATTTTTATGACTCACTGAAAGGGCTAACCGCTGGCTGACACATAGGTTGCTTGTATGTCAATGTATAATCCTGCTGAGCCCTAAAGCAAAAGAAAGCTTCATCCTCATTAGAAAGAAATATACAGTATGTTAAGAAGTATTTGAGAAATTCTGATGGCTTGCACTGCCTTTTATTTGCAGGTATTTCATTAGCTTACAAGTGGAATTTGCAAAATGGAAGCTTGCCTTGAGAAAAGCAGTCGAATAAGTTTTTGGAGGCAAAAGCTTCGTTACACGTTCAGTATGTTAGATGTGTACAAAAAAGGAGTAAGCCTCCCAGTCTCTGCATTTCAGCAGTGCCTCTGTATTTATCAAATTGTTTTATTCTGAAATTTTCAGCCTAATGCTTCTGTATTAAGGAGATGTAAACTCTGGATGTTATTAACATGGGGTATTTTAAGCACTTGCCGGGTGGTGAGCAATGCTGTCTGAATGGTTTGGGATACTCATACCCAAAGCCTGATCCCCTCCTTCCCACCCAGTTTGCTTTCTCCGAGTGGCCTTCCCCTTTTGCTGACACCTCTGGGCTTTCTGGGAGAGGGCAATCTTGTTCCTTACATGATCATCTCCATCATGACCCTCTCCAAGGCCCTCTTGACCATAGCTATCAGCCAGTAAGTGCTTGGAGGTGTGAAAAGGAGCGAGGGTTGCCTCCCATGTGATTTGGGGATACGCAGCTGTCACCCAGAGGAATGGGGTGGCTTGAGGAAACGGTGCTTGTTTTCATCCTCAATGTTTTGTTTATTTCTGCAGCACTTTCAGAAGTGAAGCCTCGAGTTTCTGCTGACTCTTTTTTCCTGGGCAGTCCCCGCTAACTAAAAACATGAATCACCGGTGTGCATGATGTGGTTTGGTGGTTTGAATTATCATTTGGCTTTGGTAATCCAGGCTGCCCATTTTTCTGAGCAGCGCTGCTTCGTGGCTGCTCATTCTCTCTCCTGGCAAGCGGAGCTGGAGCCCAGAGTTGTAAATTCAGAGATGGCAAATCATTTTGCTTCTGTTGTACAAAACCTCTAAACTCTGCCTTGGTGACCTGCTATCTGTGCCTTGAGGCTTTGGTGCTTGATAATTTCGTGTATTTTCTCAACTCTATTAAATTTATCACGGGTATAACCTAGTGTTAACAGCTGAACGGTTTGGGAGCTGCTTAAAATGGTGGTTTTTTTCCTGTGTGAATGTTTTTTCTGAAAGGCCAAGTCATTGGTTGTGAGTCATCTTCTGTGGTCTGTGACTCTTCATTCCTCAGATTTCAATCAGTAATAATGAATGTGCTGATTCTGGTTTGATTACACATATAGACACACTTTCACTTAATCTAATTAAAAATAAATCAGGAAAGGTGTTTTCGATTTCTTTTTCTTTCTGGAGATGTTTCTGACCAAGCTTGTATGTGCTTTTGGCTTGATCTTCCATGCTTTCCTCCCTTGTTTACATTACTGGCCTGTTTGACTTTGGGGCCAGCTGCATATATTCCCTTGTTAGAGGATTTATCATTGGCTAGAGAATCTTTTTTTTTATTTATTTTTTACTGTTATTGTCAGACCATCTGTGTAAATGATCTTTTACCCATTTTCCTGTAGGCAATCAATCTTGTAAGACTGTCAGCTGCCGAAACAAGTTTTTTTTTTTTTTTTTTTTTTTTTCTTACTTAGTGTTGGACTGCTTGCATTTATCCTGCGGTCAGCTAATTACATCTGAAACGACAGCTATTTAAATATGTGATTCTTTTTTTTTTTTTTTTTTTTCCTTTCCTGTTCACCGTTTTAGCATCTGGTATGTTGAAGATATGTGTTGCATGACAAAGCGCTCTGAAATTCTTGGGAAAAAAATGGGTTTATTGCCTTGTCAGAGTTGCAAAGACTTATTCTTAAAGTTTTAAAAGGCTTTCATGGGCGTTGCTTTCTCCTACAAGGCTTCAATATTGAGAGAGAAACAGGGCAGCATGGAGCTGTCACAGCCATCTCATTTTTCGTGCCCTTTCTGAAGACTGCAACCACAAAACTGGTATCGGCGTTGTGGTTTACCCTCTTTGGTTTGCTTTTCTTTTGCTACAGCTCTCCTAGCCAAAGAAGCACAAAGAAAACAGAGCTCTGTAGCTGTGCCTCTACAGCCAGGTACCTCACCGCTTTCATAAATGCAAGCTGGGAAGACGTTGCAGGGAAGTTAGCGCAATAAAACTCAGTGTGAGGTTGTATGGACAGGAGAAGAGGTATTTATTTGAAGAAAAAAAACCACAAGTTGATTTTTATGCATTCTTACTGCCTGATGCATAGACTACATAGGCACACGCTCTCTCCAACACCCTCAGAAGCACCAACATGTGCACGTCCAGGTGATGTGGCCGGGTCACTTCTGTGATGCAGAGGATGAGGGATGCTGGCCATCAAGTCTTTACCATGCTGCTGGGGCTCTTCATGGCACTGCAAACTAGTTTTTGGACAAGTGCTTCATGGCCTTCAGGAGTCATGAGCTGGTATGGGATCTTTGCTGTAGGATCTTGCTGAATTCAAGCTCTGCAAATCTTGGGCCAGGTTGTTTCCCGGTTTTTCTTTTTCCCCCCTTTTTATTTGGTTGGTTTTAGTTTTTAACTTGTCTGAATGCATGCTTGAAATATACGTTTAGGGTCTGTTTTTCAGCTGGGCCAACAGGCAACGGATTTGTTCATGTGCTGTGCTGCAATCTTGTTACATCCTCCCGTGCAGGGTCTTTTGTCGATGAGTCATCTATGCTGTGGTCTTAGCAGAGCGTAGACCTTTTGGCCGTGACATTAACAGCACATTTCTCAATCTTACTGCTGGGAATGGTGTCCAGGGAATGGTGTCCTTCGTTACCAATACCCACTGTTCTTTTAACTCCCTCTTTGCTCTGCTGTTGTTCCCAGTGTGTACACACACTTACAGTCATAATGCAGTCAGACCAACCTTAATATTTCTATTAAAATTCTTGACAGCAGTCATCTTCAAAATTAAAACCGGTAAGAAAATCTTAAAGGAGTGAAAAACTCCAAAAATTTACAGCTTTGTGGCAGACTGCTCAGGCTGAATGCTAACAGTGTCAGTTCAAAAAGAAAAGCATGTTTGTTGGGGAGAAGTTGAAAACCTAACTTTCCCACTGCTCTTGGGCAGGCTTGCTCAAAAAAAAGTTTTGGAAGCCTGTCAGTACTTCATATTGCTGTGAGATCATCCTCTGCCTTTTTATTCCAAACTTGCCATCTGGTTTATTTATTCAGTGGAACTGCAAGTACTGGATGCATTCTTCTCCCTGGAACAGTTTCTGGACGGACCGACTTGCTGCGTTCCCTTAATGAAACATTCCTTTGCTCTTGAGTAACTTTCTTGCAAGCTGCAGCATTTTCAATGCATTCCATCCTCAAACTGAACATCACAGACAGCGGTTGCTCTATATACAAACAGCTTATCATTGTCTGGCATATTGGCTGCTGTGTGGCATATTAATAACACTGGTGACAGGCATGGCTTTGATTTTTTTTTTTTCTTTCCCCTAAATAATCTCCCTCCCTTGCTCTTTTGTCAGTTGGAGGTCCTGATATCTGAATTGGTCAAGTCAGTCGAAAGCACTGTTACAATAATCCTTAATCATAAGGGCTAAAGTCAGCTGCGCAGCCCGTCAGGCAATATGAGGCTTTCTAACCCTGTATTTTTTCTTTCTCTCTCTTTTTCTCACTCTGTATTTACAGGTAATCTTAACATTCGTCTGCATGTTGATGGAGGAATCTGTAGAAATTGCTCCAGTGCCATATACACTGCAAGCCCGCCGGGTGGCTTTGGATAGAAGAGATCCCTTTAGCCCCTTGAGGAGAGAGAAGAGGGAGGTGCACTGTCAGCTTGGACAATACCTACATCCCAATGAGACTCACTGCTGCATGAGGTGCCATGCAGGTACGTTACTATAGAATAAGTACATTAATGATGGCCTTTGCCTCAGAGGCATTCCTCTGTCCTGCTCTCTCAAACTCTGTCTTAAAGCTACATCCAAACTCCCTTTCCTTGGTAGAAATTCTTACTCACTGTCTCTTCTCTTCCTCTGTGCTGGTGAGAGGAGGAGTATTCAGTCCTTACCCTGTCAGCTCCAGGGTTTCTCTGAGTAGCCAGTGACTCCCAGCCTCCCTAAGATAACACATTTGTCTTCCTGTCAGATCTCTGCTAAGTGATTTTTGTTGCAGGTACCTACAAGGCAAAAGACTGTGAACGGGCTGACCAGGCACCCGTCTGTCTTCCATGTGCTAATGGCACATTCACAGCTGTTGACAACACCATGTCTAAGTGCTACCAGTGTAAACAGTGTCGTACAGGTGAGTTGCAGCATTTTTTTGGGTGGGTTTAGATTGGGGGCTAATAATACCTGTCATTGTAATGGTGGTCTCAGCTGAAGGTGAGGTTGGAATAGTCACTTTTTTTTTTCTTTCCTCAGAGCTCAGTCAGATAGTAGTGACCCCGTGCACCCCAAAGCACGACACTGTATGTGGCTGTCGGAAGAATCAATATCAGGATGGCGACGCTTATGTCTTCTACTGTAAGAACTGCAGCCTGTGCCCCAATGGGATTATTGCCAACTGTGAGTACGGCATACTCAAGTACGGCTCGAGTACAGATGTACCTATAAGCAGCTGCCACTAGGATAGACATCTGCAGCTCCAATTTGGGCTGAAGTCCAGCTCTGCGCATGTCTCTTGAATGCTCCCGAGGTTGTTGTCCTGAAGCTATCCCCTCTTCCTTGCAAATTCTGTTTTCCTGTCCCCTTCAACACCTCTTACCCTGCTTACCGTGAGTTTTATTGTCTCCCTGGTGAACACATTCCCTCTGGCGTTCAGTGATCTTTGTCAGTTTCCCATGCTTACACCTGTCCTCAAGGGTCATCAGCTTGCAGTGTCCTTGAGCAATTTCCTTCCCTCCTGTCTGATGTAGAACTGTTTTAGTCCTGTCGCTCACTTGCCACAAAATGTATGCTGCTTACTCTCGTGTCTTTTCCCTCCCTTCATGTACCTGTGTCCTTCCTTCACTACTCTTGCCTCCTTCTTCCCACATCTTTTTTTCAGTGTCCGTGCTGTGACTCGCTGAAAAGCAAGAGCTTGCTCATCACTTACACTCAGGGCACAGCAGATCACAAGAGTGGATGTGTCTGTCCCATGGCTTGAAGTGATTTCTCCCTGCCCCAAACGGACTTCCTCACCAGTCCCAGCTGCTCGGGGACCACATCTTCCTCATTTTTGCCTAACTACTGCGATTTCCCCTTCCTGTCATGCTTGAACTAGGGTGACTTTTCCCCCTTTTGTACTGGAACTATCCTTATCCATCAGGCCAGTCTCAGCTGCACCGTGACTTTATTCCCTTTCCCAACCTCTACAGAGGTCTCTGACCTACCAGGACAGTGATACCCTCACCTTTGTTTTTATTTATTTATTTTTGCCCTCCCCGAAACCCATCCTCAAAAACAGACCGAATTTTCTTTCTCTTCTCCAATAGCAATTCTCCAGGCTCTAAGAAGAATAATCTCCCACCCATCTCAAAATGAATTCTTCCCTTTTTGTTTTCTTCTCTTCTCTGTCCAGATTATGGCAACAGTTTCTTCTTTTCTCTGCAGGTTCAAAAAACAGAAACACGATTTGCAGGTGTAAGCCTATGTTCTACCTGGCATTTGATAACACTTGCAAGCATTGCAACAGGTGAGCTTTTTTTTCCTCTGTGTGTGAGCCTCCATTAAGTAGGAGAGAGAGCAGATGCAAGTCTCACAGTGGGGAGGGAATTTTTCTCAAGGTTTTGTCCGTCTCGATTTTATAAAATTCTGGCTTTCTGGGGCAATTGGTGGTGTCCTCCGCTCTGGCCCTCTCCACGTGGCATCATGGTGAACCACTGAGGACCCGCAGTCACTAGGCACACCGCGTTGCTCTGCTTTGCAGGCTCATCTTGATTTGTCTGTTATTTAGGATTGTGCAAATGGCTGGTGTCTCGTTTCATGCACGCTCATATCTCTCTGATTTGCTCTTTCAGCTGCTCTGGAGAAGAATGCTCGCAATGTCACAGCCCAGTGACTACCTCACCAAATTCATCTGGGCTGAGTGAGTACTGGGGAAACTGGGAGACAATGGAATCTTTCCAGTGTGGGCTTTTGTTCTGTTGACACCTGTCAACCCATTACTTTCTCTTCCCTTTCAAATCATTATTATTTTTCTCATTGGCATTTGCATGTGCTCACTTACTATTCTTTCTCCAATATTTAACTCCTCCTTTCTTGGACTCTCACTCATTTGCCCTCTTCTTTTTGTCCAGATGGGAACCTCGTCCTTGGCATCATTGTTGCAATATTTGGAGTTATCACTGTCCTCTACGTTGTAAATAAAGTGGTGAAGCTGGTTCAGGAAAATGGGATAGCCTCTTCTTTCTACTCCTGTGGTGAGTACAGCAGCATCTGCCATGACATTCATTGCGATGGACATCACTCTGCTGGGTGAATGGATGTGTGCACACATGTGTGAGGGAAACAGTGGGATCCCATTACTCTGCCTTGCTGCAAGGCCAGAGGAATGTGAAAACTCAACATGGCAAGCTTGTTGATGCAGTTCTTGCAGCTCTGCTGCTGTGCTGTGACTGGAAGTGCATGTGAGCTCGTTGCTGGGAGATGAGCATTTTGCTATAAAACCTTTTGAGGTCAGGATCGTGAGCTGCTTTCCTGTTTTCTCTGGGAAGAGAGGAAGTGAAAATAACTTCTGCTTTCTTTCTTTTTTTCTTTCAAGTTTCTTCACTGCAAACGAGCAAGGAGCCAGTATCTGAGGTGAGCAAGATGATGTTTATAAGAGCTTCCCTTCCTTTTTCAATCATGTTAACCTGGAATCCGGAGTAATGTTGCTCCCCATGGGCTGTTTTCAGGCCTTGTATTTTTAAATAAGTTGAGTAACAGGGTTGTTTAATTCAAAAGTTTTTCATTCCAGAGGGTGGATCCATTAACATTTTACTTCCTCTCTGCTAGGGGATGCTTTCCAAATTTCTGTCTCTGTGTTCATTTTTTTCCGGAAACATTGTTTTTTGAGATAGCTGATCCTTAATCCCTTTTTCTCTATATATGCCCTAAGTTGAGAGAATTGAAGTAATTTTATTTTGCTTTAGATCTTGAACCCAGAAGCCCCTGAGTACTGCTTTACAACGTTTCCTTAGGTCCACTGTTCTTCCCCAATTAAGAGGGCCCAAGCAATAGTCCAGGAAGGTTTTCCACAGGTCATTTGACATACAAATGATTTGGGGTCCCAGGCTTACTTGATTTTTGCAAAAAATTATTTCTTCCAGACTGCCATTTTTATGATTGAAAACAAATAAAAATCTCCTTAGGAAATAAATGGTTAGTACCTTCTGCTCAAACAAGACATGTTGGAAGAATTAAAACCTCATCACCTGCTCCCTACCTATCTTTGCTACATTTTTGTATATAAAGCTAGTGATTCCTTGCAGGAGATGGGTGCTGTGGGTGATTCTGGACTAACGCAATGTCTCTTTCAGGTTGAGGTTAAAAGGAGTGCAATTTCTATCCTTCCTGAGGCCCAGAAGGAAACAGAATTGTTGGTGAATGCGGTGCCACCATCTGCACCCCTGCCACAAAGTTCACATGAGCTACCAGACTGTGTCAGACCCGCCAGGAAGACGCAGCTTCCAGACAGTAAGTGAAACTCCCCCATCCCTCCCTAGGCAAACCAGGACTTGATTATGCAGATGTGGCTGGGAGGATGTATGAAAGCTTACCAGGTGTGCGTGACCTGCGTGCATACTTCATGCATGGCACAATACAAATAAACACACCCAGACCCTGCGAGTCTGTATATGTTAAACATCAACGCAAGGCTTTCCTGTTGCCTTTTTTTTGCTACCAGCAAAATAGATTCTCATAGATGCTGTCATGGCGTCAGTCCTAATCCCTCTGGGATGGTGACATGGAGCTTTTTTTTTTTTTTTTTAGGGGGTGGTGGGAAGGATTATGTGGCAGCAAAGCCCTGAATATGTATGCTTAACTCTGCTCATAACCTTATACAAGTGCATAGGGAAGTATCACATTGTTTTCTGAGGGATAAGAGGGAGTCTGGACATCACGTGAGCCTGTGCAACTACCCTGCTGAAGACCTGAACACGAGGGGCCAATGTACAGTCCCAAGGCACCATCTAGCCTTTCAATGACTGACATTCCCCTTGAGGCTGCAAAATCCTGGTTCTCACACTTCGTTTCTTCTCTTCTCCCAGATCCTGCTATCCTCTACACCGTGGTGGATCACGTCCCGCCATCTCGGTGGAAAGAGTTCGTGAGGCGGCTGGGGCTGAGTGACTATGATATAGAGCGCATTGAGCTGGAGCATCGGCGTTTACGAGATGCCCAGTATGAAATGCTCAGACTGTGGAAACTGCAGATGGGCCGTGCTGCAACTGTGGAGCGTATCAGCTGTGTTCTCAACCAGATGGAGCTGAGTGGCTGCAGTGAAGCTATTCAGGTGGCTTTGCTAAACCAGAACTCGCCTCAACCTTGCAGTGTCCACAGCCATCTTTGATATATTTCTACTTTAGTCCCCCTTGCTGTGACTGTTGAGAGAGGATCACATCTCCCTTCCTTTCCTTGTCTCCCCTTTCCTATGCCTCCCTATCTTTCTAACCCTCCTTAAATGGGTTTGTTGGAGACAGCAGCAGATTATGCTGGAGGAAGGCCAAGGTTTGTTTGCAACCACCGAGTTCAATGCCTTTTCAACCAAGAAAGACCTCTGCAACAACTCCTTTCCCAAAAAGGGAAAGCACCTCATAAAGGAAGTGGCGTGCAGACTCAGACCAAGGTGAAAACAGGAGCTCAGAGTGACTTGATAGCTCAGCTACTCTACAGACAAGTTGTCGCTGGAACAGGAGCTTCACCCAGCATACAGCAGGCTAACTTGGAGGGTGACTTGGTTGAGCTGGCTGTTCAAATGCTAGAATGCTTGCTCTCTTCTTGCAGATCTATTTTTCTGCAATATCAGACAGTTAAGCTGGCTCACATTGCAGCCATTTGATTGTGAAATCTGACGGAAGGGAAGTTGTGGGAGGACATGCCTATTTCTGGGAGTGGGAGAGGACTGCACCCTTTTGGTATCAGATGGTTAACAAAGTGCTGTACCTTCAGCCCTCTCACTGTGGCAGAAGTTGCAGAGATTCAGAAGGGGTGGCTCTGTGTGAAACAGGGTGACATTATCCTTTCCACACCTCCCATTGCCCGCTGGTGCAAGAGGAATAAGGATTCTGAGCCAAGGGGTCAGATGAAATGGTTGGTGCTTTTTCTAATGTTTTTTTTTTTTTTTTTTTTTTTTTTTTCCTGCGTGTAGAAACCATATAAGACAGCATTAACAAAACACCTGCCTGCATTTGTCCTAGTGCAGAGTGGAAAAGAATGCATGTGTCCGTGTGGGTGAGGAGGTACCTACGTACCTGGTAATATGAGTGCCTCTGCAAATCTGTGCTTCCACACAGGTCAGCAGGCTTCTGTCTGCTTTTTTTTTTTTTTTTTTTCCCTCTAAATGATTTGCTGAATCTGACCTAACTGCAAATGGGACTGTGTATGTGTACATATATATATATATATATATAAATAGATATTTTAGTAGCTGTTCAATAAATTCACACTACTTCCTGGACTCAATTCTGTGAGCGCTGCTTGGGTACCATCTTGAGGCTCTCAGTATTCCTTTCTCATGGGTATTATTACCCTGAGTGAAGTTGAAGCAGCAAAAAGCAATAAGCCTGCATCAGGTGCAGGTTGTCCACACATTTGTGAATGTGGATTTTTTTTAAATCTCTTGTCCTTTGACTAGACAGAAGCTTTCTATTGTAAATACACTAAATGTTTCGAATTAAAATTTGTATTTTTACCTTTGCCTCCGTTCTGCTTTTGTCCATGTGAACTTCACTTCTTTGGCTTGTGGGAAGGAGCAGAGAGTGGGAAATGACTTCTAGAAGTGGTAGGAGTGTTGCTGTGTTGAAAAAGTTTGTATTTAAAAAAATAAGTTACGGTCTTTTGAAGATAGAGCTTAGCTGCCTTCAACTCACAGGAAGCCCTGAGGGCAGGAAGTGGGACTGAAAACAAATCCAGTTGTAGGTCTTTTAAAATGAGTCAAATGGAATGCCTGCATATTTAAAGTGAATTTTAAAACATTAGGAAGGAGTCATGTTGATACGCATTTGGATTTTTAAAGAGAAAAATACCTATAAATAATAATCAATTATACTTCAATATTTCTCTTGCAGAGGCATGTTTTTATATGATGAGCACTAAGACAGTAAGTTCCTCCCGTATCAGTGAGAAAACTTGAAACTTGGAAGTGAAATGTGTCCAAACTGACACCAGGCAGTGACAAAGCCAGGTTTTAATTCCCAATTTTAGGCTTTGCTTTTCTATATGTCTATAAGTATATTTAAAATCAAGTGAGATGATACAAAGCTCATTATAATCCACTTTTTCTTTCACAATTTGTGTTCGACAAGCATAGCAGTATAATAATAACTAGAAGTACATGCTCTTGATATTATAGAAGTGAAACTAGGAAACTCAGAAAGCTTTTCCTGGAGTGCTACCTAAGGCTTTTTCCCCCACATCAAACTGCATTTAAAACCCAGGTACACCGGAGTTCAGCGTGCCAGGTAAGCCAAGAGCAGCCCACTACCCCACCGTTAGGCTTTCCACGCCCCAAATTCAGTACATAAAAAAAAAAAAAAAAAAAAAGTAATTCAGGATGGTGAGAAGCTTCAGAAGGCTTTGAAGGCGCTTTCAGTGTAACGGAAGTCAGTTTGGCATGTCATGGGTGGTGCAGCTGCGAAAAGAGAAGACTAGAGGGCAGCCTTGAGGGGAAAAAAAGGAAATTCGACCTGTTAAACGTGCATGCTTTTTATTTATTTATTTATTTATTTGTCACAATTTTTGACTGAACATCTCCATCCCCAATAAACTCCCCCAGACTTTAAACATCCCTCCCCTTTCTTTAACCCATCCCCTCAAGATGGCGGCTGCCCTGCTCCTCCCTCACAGCAGCGGACCGCCCCTCCCAGTGCTTTCTCCCCCCCCCCGCGGGCCCGCCTTGGTACGGCCCGGCTGCCCCCGGGGCACATTGAGGAGCCGCTTGGGCGAGCGCACTGCGCTGTGGCGGCGGGGGGGGGACGACGACGACGGCGGTGGTAACGGGAGGGGAGCGCCCCCCGTCAGGCGGCCGCCATGTCCCTCAACAAGTCGATGCACGCCCGCAACCGCTACAAGGACAAGCCGCCTGACTTCGCCTACCTGGCCGGCAAACACCCCGAATTCCGGCAGCACGTCCAGACCACCCTCTCCGGCAGGGTGAGGTAGGAGCGGGGGGACAGGGGGAGAAGGGCCGGGGGTGGTGCCGGAGCCGCTGCCATGCGTTGTTTGTTGCTTGCAGCCTGAACTTCAAGGACCCTGAGGCGGTGAGGGCGCTGACCTGCACCCTGCTGAAGGAGGACTTCGGGCTGACCATCGACATCCCTCTGGAGCGGCTGATCCCCACCGTGCCCCTCAGGCTGAACTACATCCACTGGGTGGAGGACCTCATCGGCCACCAGGGCGCCGACAAGGCCGTGCTGAGGCGGGGGATCGACATAGGTAGGCGGGGGTTGGCTCGGCCTTTGCTGCGGGTGAAAGGGGCCGATGATAAACAAACAAATTTGCTTTTGAGAAGCAAATCTGGAAGCTCATGGTGCTGAAACTGGCAACCTAATCCCCATTAGTATTTCATTTGGGCAGCATTTCTCTGCACTCACACAAGGATGACTAGTAGGCAGTGCTTTGGCACCTTGTGGCCCTGAACTGCCTTGAACAGCTACATTTTTTCTCTTTCTTGCCAATGTAATTCTTCAATTCTTTCATTTTTTAGCTTGGCTTCCAGTAGACAAACTCAAAGGTTTATCTTGTGGTGTGTGCACAGGTGCTTTCCTTTCAGAACTCTTAAACTTGTTACCCAACTTCAACACATTTGCTAATAGGTAGCTTTTTAAAAACAATTTCTAATGACTTCATTGCAGCAGGTGGCTAAGTAGAAGAGAGAGATCCTTTAACGTACCTAATTATTGGAAAAAGTTTGCAGTCAGTTTTGATATTCTCATTTAGGGAAAAGCAGTAGGTCATCCAAGAATAACATAAGAGGAGCTCTGGAAATAATTGTGCATGCTTTTGCAAGCTTACTGATGTTTTTTTCTATGCTTCAGTAAGTCCATATAATAGTAATTATATGGACTCCTGCTGTACCTCTGAACTCTGTTTTTGTAGCGGTGAGATATTTATTCTTTTTACCCGTGTCCATTAACTTTAATCCTAAGTTTGACTGTCACTGGTAATTGGACTGCCAAGATGTGCCATGCATTTTAAAAGAATTCATGTTGTGCTAGAAAGTATTTTTCTTTGTTACCAATCTGGATATTTTTTTCTAGATACCTTAATTGACGCTGCCCCCCCTTTTTATTGTTTTAGGCTTTAGGGGGAAAAAAAATCTCACGTAATGGGAATGCCACTTTTTTGTGTATATCTGTGGTTGCTGTATGCATTCATGATAGATAATAGAAAAATACAGAAGATTTTTCTTTGACTTTTTTTTTAGTAAAACAATATATTTAACTTTCACTGTATAAATTAATCATTGTCAAATAATAGCTTAAGAAAATAAGTTGATTGTTTACTAGAAAACTAATTCCAGGTAGGATTGCAATGTTCTTATAAATGTAGCTTTGACAATGCTGTGTTTTAAATTACTTAAATTTCATTAAATAACCAAGTAATGGGTGATCAGTGGTCAATGTTTTCTTGAAATTATTTCTTTTTGTTGTAAAAAGTACATAGTTAACAGCTACGCTGTGTGTAACACCGTTTTGCCTTGTTCATGGCTTTTTGCATCCTCAGGGACGGGGGCATCTTGCATATACCCGTTGCTTGGATCAACGTTGAATGGCTGGTATTTTCTTGCAACAGAAGTGGATGATATGTGCTTCAATTATGCCAAGAAGAACGTGGAGCAGAATAACTTGTCTGATCTTATAAAAGGTATGAAGTAATAGTATATGTACTGACATACAAATATTGTGACCTATTTTTATGCCATGTTCAGGGGCTTATCAGATTTAGTATTCTTGCCAAATAACATGATCTGTTGTTTTTATTGACACAGAGTGTTTACTAAGGTCCGCTTATGCTTAAACCAGAAAATCACAGCATGTGTAGAATGGAAAGTGTGGATAAAGAACTACTCATCTTAACAAAAATCAGAAAGTTAAGCTTTATCCTAGAGGGTACAGAGTAAGGCCTCAGACCTCGTTTCTGAATGAGGTCTTAACAATGCCTGTGCTAGTAGTAGAATGCAAGAGGATGGAAAAAATTCTGTGGGAGCTCTAGACACTATAAAGCCAGTCCATGATTCATCTCTGAAAAAAAACTTTGGTTCTGCTAGTTTTTGAAACATTTTTACCTAAATGTTTTCCTCTTAGCCTGTCCTCCATGTCAGTCTTGAGATCCAAATCTCGATGTGGGGAACAATGGCAGTATTCTGTTACGGCTCTTAGGATTCCCAGTGGTGTGATGGTATTTCACTTTACTGGTAAAATCTCTGGCAAAGGAAGATATCTCAGGTGAAGCTGTAGTGCCAAAGGTGATAAGCTGGAGAGACTGACTGCTGTTGACCAGAGCTACAGGCAAAGGAGTTCCCCTGAGGGCACATGTAGCAAGCCGCTGCCTCCAAACTACCCACCCTGCAACTTCTTAACTCCTGGGTCTGAATTGTTTAGCTAGAGATGATATGCTACCATAGTCAGTAACTCGATTTCCAAATTGTATCGTAGCTTTTTTATTCCGAGAGGAAAAAAAAGTAATTTTTTTTTGTCTGACAGTGAAATACTGCTGTCAGTAACAGTTCTTCCAAAAAGAATCTTTTCTATATGTGCAAAACAGGAACTGATAATCCAGGGAATTAATTGTAAATGCTAAAGCTTCAAAAGCAAACAAACACAAAACGTGTGGAGTTGCATGTGTATTTTATTGGAATTGGTTGATGAGCAAAATTTATTGTCTAGTTTAAAAAAAAAATCAGCACCCTCTATATAATAGGTAGGTCAAGGTATTTTCATAAATCTGATCTCTGATAGCTTTTAAATTTGTAGTTGTATGTGAGAGCTCAGTGTAACTCGTGCAGTTCCTATTGCTTTAAACATTCATGTCTCACATTACTACTGTGTCATGCTTAAAGGCTGTTTATATGCTAATCCTTAATGTAGTCTTTATTTGCGTGGTTATGTTTTTTGTAGACTGTATTGTTAAGTGCAGTTTTAGTATATTACATTCTTTGAAGAAAGACTGAAACACAAAATGCACGCTAGATAAAATACAAAGTTCTGTACTGACTCCATCTGTTTTCTATTAGTGGTTAAAGTCCCACAGAAAACTCTTCTAATGGATGCGCTGAAAGAAGAATCTGAGATCATTTATGACTTCTGCATGTGCAATCCCCCCTTTTTTGCCAACCAGCTGGAAGCGAAGGTAAGCTAGCAAACTAATGCAAGCACTTACTCTAGTAATCAGTGAGTGGGAGGATAGCAACAATTTAACAGCATCTCTTGGGGAAAGTTCAGTGGAAAATCCCAAACCATTGCAAAATAGCATTGAAGTTTTCTCCTTTCCTACCCCCTTGCCCCAAAGGGATATTGAAAAACTAACCACTACTCCATCTGAAGTGGAGGGTGACTAGTAGACTTTTTCATGAGTTCTTGCCATCTTATAAAGTGAGTTTAGAAAATAGATAGCTACTAAATCTGGAATCAAGGAACCGCTATATAATGGTGTAGAGGAATCCATTTTGGGGAGTTGTGCCTATCTATTTTT